AGCATCATGTTGTGGGGCTGTTTTGCTGCAGGAGAGACTGGTCCACTTCAGACCATAGATGGCTTCATGAAGAAAGAACATTATGTAGAAATACTGAAGCAACATCTCAAGACAGCAGCCAGGAAATTAAAATTTGGCCACAAATGGGTCTTCCAAACAGACCATGACCCTAAGCTTACTGCCAAATTAGTTAAAATGTGCTTTAAGGACAACAAATTGAATGTTTTGGAGTGGCCATCACAAAGCCCTGATGTCAATCCTACAGAAAATGTGTGGGCAGAGTTGAAAATGCTTGTTTGAGCAAGACCTCAAAATCTGACTCAGTTACATTAATTCTGTCAGGAGGAATGGGCCAAAATTCCTTCAAACTATTGTGAGAAGCTCAAAACATTTGACCAAAGTTATACAGTTTAAAAGCAAAGTTAAAAAAAATACCAAGGAAATTTATTTAAACCTTTGACTGTCTAGAAATTAATAAAAAAATTCTCAAAAAAATAAAAAAATAAAATTCTCTCATTCTGGCATTTAGAAAATGTAAATCATTTACAGTTGAAGTCAGAATTATTAGTGCCCCTGTTTTTTTTCCCCCCATAATTTCTGTTTAATGGAGGGAAGATTGTTTCAGCAGATTTCTAAACATAATAGTTTTAATAACTCATTTCTGATCACTGATTTATTTTATCTTTGCCATGATGACAGTAAATAAGATTTTACTTGATATTTTTCAAGACACTTCTGTACAGTTTAAAGTGACATTTAAAGGCTTAACTACCTGTAGGTTAATAAGGTGAACTAGGCAGGTTAGGGTAATTAGGCAAGTTACTGTATAGCGATGGTTTGTTCTGTAGACTGTCGAAAAAAAAATTAGCTTAAAGGGGCTAATAATTTTGTCCCAAAATTGTTTTTTAAAAAATTAAAAACTGCTTTTATTCTAGCCGAAATAAAACAAATAAGACTTTCTCCAGAAGAAAAAAATATTATCAGACATACTGTGAAAATTTCCTTGCTCTGTTAATAATCATTTGGGAAATATATATATAAAAAAAGAAACAAAAATCAAAAAGGGGCTAATAATTCTGACTTCAACTGTAGGTAATCCTAACGGACCTAAAATGTAAACGTTTAGTTTGATTTACCAACAGACTTTTTTTTTTTTTTTAAATGGTTATGTTCCTTTTTTTAGAGTGTATGTAAACTTCTGATTTCAACTGTGTTACATGTGCAGCATATATTATCAAAGTCCCTTTAGATTCTGTAGTCTTTGATATTATGCAGTACACATTGCTGTATATATTATTATTATTGTACAGTATAAATACAAAAGTGATTGGGGTGGTACTTATCAAAGACCATCATCATTCAGCAAATAAATTTTTGAAGAAAAAAGAAAACATGCTTATGACCAAATTATTAAAATAAGTAACTGTTAATATAATATAATAAGAATATGTAATTATAGTAATTGTATTATTTGTTTAAATGATTTTCACTTCCCTATAATACTTTGTGCAGATAAATGGGTAAAACCGTGTGTTTAAAGTTTAAAATGACAATCTGTTACTATTTTGGAGGTGTCGTTTGATATATAAACCACTGACTGAATGAGACTGTAGTCTTCTGCAAATCATAGAAAATGTTTTGCTTTTGTTTCAGTAAATAAAGAACAATGACACATTCTAATGGGCGATGCAATGGCGCAGTGGGTAGCACGTTCGCCTCACAGCAAGAAGGTCGCTGGTTCGATCCTTGGCTCAGTTGGCGTTTCTTTGTGGAGTTTGCATGTTCTCCCTGCGTTCGCGTGGGTTTCCTCCGGGTGCTCCGGTTTCCCCCACAGTCCAAAGACATGCGGTACAGGTGAATTGGGTAGGCTAAATTGTGTGTGTGTGGATGTTTCCCAGAGATGGGTTGCGGCTGGAAGGGCATCTGCTGCGTAAAAACTTGCTGGATAAGTTGGTGGTTCATTCCACTGTGGTGACCCAGGATTAATAAAGGGACTAAGCCGACAAGAAAATGAATGAATGACACATTCTAATGTGGTAAAAAGGCTTTATTTACACCTTTCCTATTTCCAAATATTGTATTAAAACTTTTATGATATCACCTTTTGCTTTACAACTTGAGGATTTCACAAAAATACTATAATTTATTGAAACATTTTCCCCACTAATATATAACACATCATAGTAAGTCCCATTAAACTATTCTGAACGGTGTACAAGTGTACATTGTGAAAATCAGCTACTGGAACAGAAAGTGCAAGAAGAGCAAAATAGTGCAAATTGTTTCTTTATGGATGTATAATGATCAGTAGATAGACACCGTAGACCACAAAACATGAAAACACCACCTAATCTGATAAGCATTTCATTGTGCATTAAAAATACTGTCTATATTTAGATATAATATAAATCATCATTCGATACATCCATCATTTCATGCTAAGTTGTGGATTTATCTTGGTGGTTCAAGATTAAATATTTTGTTTATATGAAAAAAAGTACTTTACATCAAATACTACAGTGTTTTTGAACCATATACAGTAAAACACACACAAAAACAATTCTGGGTTCCACGCAATTCCTTTATGTTGTCCCAACACACATTGATTAAGTTAACTTTGTTTATTTATTTATTTATTTATTATTTTTTTTACAAATTTAAATGAATTGAACATACAACATTTAAGTTGTGCCCCAAAAACCTTAATAATTGTGTTTTTTCAACTCATTTTAAATAAGTTTGAATAATCAGCAAAAGTTATTTTTTGAGTGTACTTGAGTTAATCTTTTCATGTAATTTCATAGTTGCTGTGGTACAACATGCAGCAATATAAACAAATTGCCCAATACTGTACAGAATATTCAACAACAACTATTTTATACTAGCCTACACGCAGGGGCGCCCCCAAGGGGTGGGTAACCCTTGGGTAAACTCTGGCCACCCCTGTGGCCACCCCAATATGATTTTGCCGTTGACATTATTAACTTAAATGTACTTATGTATTTCCCAAAATGTCAATAAATAAAATGCAGCCACTCAATTATTGTTGGTGCCACTGATGTAGCTGAGTCACTGCCTCAGTGCCCCTCTCCTTCAGCGCTGGTGAAAGCAAACTGACGCATGCGCACAGAAAATCATTCCCGTGCGAGTTTTGCAAGTCGAATAGGGTGGTTCACCCAGGGTGTCAATTAAACTAGAACCGCCACTGCCCTCCCCGATCGTCGTCAATAGACAGCAATGGCAATTTAATATTTACCTTAAGGTACATCAATAGAAGAAGCTGCATTTATAATATTGTGGCTCAAAAAGGAATATGGATAATTGATATTATCAGGGTCTGTATAGTAAGTGTTTGTGTGTGTATAGTAATGCCTTTTGTTCAGTTTGTTCATTTGTTTGTTTTTATAATTAACTCATTAATCTTCATTCATTTTAGACATGGCATATACTGTATGCTGTACAGTAAAAGTATGCAAAAAAACTGGATAGTTATTTATACATATGAGAAGTGTTTTTAAACTAAATATAGATTTTAGTTGGTTTACACATGTACTTGCTGAATTATTTCAAGGAATTAATTGCAATATTTCAAGAGTAATTAATTAATTGAGTTAAAACCGCATTATTTCATTTACCAGAAACAAAAATATAACATTACACTGAATTCATTTTTTTGTGAGTGTGTGTGTGTGTGTGCCACCCCTAGATTTGGTGCGGCCTCTTCTGGCCACCCCTAAGAAAATTTGCTGTTACACTGCCTACACCACAGTGTAACATAAACAAAAGTATACTACAGTATTTAGTTTATCACTTAACAGTTCATAAAATAGCCTACTTAGTAGCATTCAGTGTTGTACTATTCAATACACTTTAGTATGGTGCAAAATCATTATAGTATATATATATATATATATATATATATATATATATATATATATATATATATATATATATATATATAGACCTTTTTCATGGCTGCTGCATGGAGGGCGCCATAGCAACGAGCGTCTTCCGGTAGAATGCTAAAAACTTCCGTTTACAGCGTTTACAACTGGTAATTTGCGCTCCGAAAATAGGTTTCAATAACGTTTTTAATGGATAACAGAGTGTTTTTGTGACACACAACTTAGAAATGTGGTTCAAGTGCGTCAGAAATACGAGAAAAATGTTCTCCTAGTTCACGTGTCTGCCGTCAGAAATACAGTGGGTGTGTGCGTTCCCGGCCTGTCAGCTGTTAGCTCAGCGGCTCTTTAACACACACACACACACATGCACACAGAGAGAGAGAGAGAGAGAGAGAGCAAACCAGAGTACTGGCATGAAACTTAACAGGTATGAAAGTCGTGCAATTTACAAAAATGACCAATAAAAGTCTGTTATTGATCCTCTGCTGGCTGATTTGCTGTTCATTCTAATCACGAGCCGTTTGTGTTTTATTTCGTGTGTTGTTTTTACCACGGTTTGTGTTTTTCTGTCATTTCAAAATGACACTAGCCTATATTTTCACTTTGTCACAGTTATTAAATCAGTGTGTCAGTGACACAGTACAGGCTACGTGTGTGTGTCAAACATTTTGGTGAACTACATTTGTTTGGGCTGGTTATATACTTGAAATAAAGAGAAAATGTCGACTTTAGCGATGACAAGGCTTCATTTAAACTGCAGAAGATGCCATCTGACAACGAGGGGAAAATGCCTCACAGCAGCTGTTTTCCATCCTATTAGATCGCATTTCTTTAAGTGATCAGTCCAGGAGACGGTGCTGATGGACAACAGTATCAGTTCAAAGAGGATAAAAGCAAGTAAAATAGATTAAAACTATCGTTTCAAAGCTGTCCAAATGTGACTGTTTACACGCATCAGCTGCCGACTGGAAGTTCTTCGCATTCTCCTTGCTCATACACGCAAAGCATAATGGGTAATTTTGCGTTCCAAGAAAAGGTATATATATATATATATATATATATATATATATATATATATATATATATATATATATATATATAATTGTAATAGCCTATTTCCATGTGGGACGCCATTATATAATCGATAATATACCTCATCATCATATCTTCAATCTTTCACCGCCATCTCTTTAGTTTATTAATATCCTGGTGATTCATGAATGTCATCGTTTTTGCTGTCCAGACCATGTCTGAGAACTGAAAATGCGGTTTAATGTTGTTGATAAGACGCCATAAGCGCGAGCTGCAGATTCACCTCATCGGACTGCTGGAGGGGCTGCGGATCGGAAATCTCAGTTAGGCACTGACATTTGAGAAATTATCAGAATTATGGAGAAGTTATTTTATTTATGATGGTGACAGGCTTACAGTTATATCCTCCAGGTAGAAGCAGTGGCGATGGTTGAGGTGGCCGATGAAGTTGCGGCTGTAGTATTGTGGATCTCCGTGAGGTGTCGCTACACACACTGGACACACCTAGAGGACGACACACACACACACACACACACACACACACACACACACAAACAGGATTTTCACTGCTTAGGCCCTGAAGTGACAGTTCAAAAAATGAAATGGAAATATACTCACTGTTTACACACCCTCAAGTGGTTTTTAAACCTTTGAGTTTGAACACAAAGGAAGATATTTGAAAGAAAGCTGAAAAGGTGTGAACATTGACATCAGTTGGAAAACAAAAAACTAAATATGGTTACCAGTTTCCATCTCTCTTCAAAGTATCTATTCTTTTTGGCTTAGTCCCTTTATTAATCTGGGATCCCCACAGCAGATTGAACCGCCAACTTATCCAGCACATGTTTTAGGCAGCGGATGCCCTTTCCGCTGCAACCCGGGGTTTCAGCGTCAACGCTTGACTGAAGGCGTGTCTGAATTTGGGGCTAAAGCGATCGTCATTTCAGCATCAGCCAATGAAATTCAGTCAGCAATAGGCCACTGTCAAGCGGGTGTATATGCATACAGCGATCTGATTGGCTGATGCTTCCGTCGGCGCTTGAAAAGTTGAGCTAGTCCCAACTTCTGCAGCGAGCAACGCCTCTGAAGCAGCGCCGACAGATACACTATGCAGTTCGGCAACGCTTGACGTCACCCATTCAAGGTGAATGGGAAGCATTGACGCTGACGCAAATTTTACAGTCTATGGCGTAAACATCCACACACTCATACACTACAGACAATTTAGCCTAGCCAATTCACCTATACCACATGTCTTTGGACTGTGGGGGAATCCGGAGCACCCAGAGGAAACCCACGCGAAGGCAGGGAGAACATGCAAACTCCACTCAGAAACGCCAACTGACCTAGCCGAGCCTCAAACCAGCGACCTTCTTGCTGCGAGGCAACAGCCCTACCTAATGCGCCACTGCGTCGCCCTCAAATCTTAATTTTAGTTTAAAAGTAAGAAACTCTTTTAGTAGGAAAGACATTTTAATAAAGTAGGAAACAGGACTGGAACAAGTGAATGGTGGGAATTTACTCAATTATCCTTTTAAAACTGAAATATTTTCAGTCTTACTATATTATCTGTTTTTATAAATTAAAAAAAAGAAACATGACTCATTAATATAAAGATTTGTCGGTTGATTCCTAATTACAGTATATCTACTAACATGCTGAATATCACAACCACCATTAATTAACACTGGTTTACAAAGGTTTACACTGAACAGTGTAAAGAAAGTTAACTTATCAGCATATTTCCCTAGTGGACGGAATACATTAGGAATTGCAAAAATATTTTTTGTAATACAAGTTTTCTAAAATGTTGCCTTTATTGCAGATGTGCAAATAAGGCACTATCTTATTAAATATGTGCTAATTTGCATACATTTAAGCAGGTGAAATTTAGATGACGTCGTTCAAAATTCTCATTGCATATTATGTCAAATGTTTTTAGAGGAGATTTTGAGTTTCTCTTTTATCACTCAACTCAGTAAATAGTGCAAATTAAACGTTTACCTTTTTTTTTTTTAGAATATTTTGTTTCATGCAAATTTTGTCCAAATTTTTTTGTTTCATGCAAATCTCTCCAAATACCTTCAAAATATACTGCATGAATAGAATTGTGCACTTTGGTGTATTTAAGTTCTGCTGAAGTGGAGAATTGTGGCTCAGTGCAGGAAATAAATCTCACTTTGAAAAAAAAAAATCTGCATTTTAAAATATGTATTTAACAAATTGATTAACACTTGATAAAAGAAACATCTATAACCACCCCTTTTTTGGTGTTTTCTTTTCTTTAGACTGAAAAAAAATATGTTTAAAAAAATCCCTAAATCTTAAAACTGACAGGTGCATGAAAACGTTTTTTTGCCTTCATTGTCTTGTCATAACATCACCGCTAAAACTCACTTCAGCTTTAGATTTAGCTGAAATTAACTATATTTGTTTTTAGAACTGAATGTGTAGTGAGTTTACAGAAATTCATCAAATTGGATATTATGAATAGTCTGTATGAATTCTGACTCACCACACGTCTGCTGTCGCTGGCATGGTGGATATTGCAGTGATTTAGTAGTTGAAGTTCATCAAATCCATTATTCTGACAGTATGGGCACACAAATGTCCTCAAAGAAACACTAGCGAGGAGAAATGAGAAAAATAAGTGAACCTAAAAGATTGTAATCTCCTACAAAACTACTAAAAGGTAAGGTTCCAAAATAAAACTGATAAACAGTTAATTAAATTATTAATAAACCAATTAAAATGCATGAAATGCAAACTGGGTGGTGCAAAACTTCAAAATAATGTCGAGCTGCAACAAGCAAACAACAATTGCGTCGCGCCTTGCACCGCATTGCACCCAGTGTATGATAGGGCCCAAAATGGCCTCACCTCAAAATAAATAAATAATAATAATAATAATAAAAAATTAATAATAATTCTGAATATTACAAAAACAAACAAAAAAATCTTTTTTAGAGTCGCAATGAAATCAAAACGTTTTCTTCCTGTTTTTATATGCTTGTTATGTTATGTAATGTATTTATATAGCACATTATCGTGTATATGTGTAACCCCGCCGGTCTTACGCCACCCAACCAGCTCCGAACTGGTATCGAACTGGCGACCTACCACATGGGAGTCGGTTGCCCTACCAAGGAGGCTAAAAACCATGGCCACTTGCGTCTGTCGCCATAGATATATACATTAGATGTCGCCTGGCCTATTGTTGTCTATTGGACGGAATGCGTCAATAGCGCCGCCATCTTGTGCAGGGTAGCGCTCCTTTGAAATGAATGTGGGACCAAGGTACAGTGGAGGACTGTGGCCATCCAAAGCCAGAGATATACACATATATCTATGATCGGGAGTTTTCCTGGATGTTAGTATGTAATTTTTTTTTCTAATTACAAAAAATATAATTTTACATCACTTTTCTACATTGATGGATCAGTGACCGCACGGGCATTCCTGACAAAAAGCTTGTGTTTGTGTGTACAGAAATGTAATATTCACCCTCCCTGTTAAATTTGATCTAATCATGTCCTGAAACACACCTCCTCTCCTGGTTTCACTTCTCATACTGACGAAGGGAGCGATTCGTTTGTGAATGAATCCCCCAAACGACCCTTTCACTAGCCGACAATAATACAAGTTTCTGGCACCGCAGCATCTCGTTGTCATATTTATTTTGCATTGTTTGCTGATTTTATTCAAAAAAACTAGCATAAGCCGAGTGTTAAGTGCGAGTTGGAGCTACTTTGCCTTATGGTGAATGCAGTAAGTGACTGTTATCATCAATAACGTTACCTGATTAGCACAAATTGTTCAGAACATACAAAAACAGAAAAAAACTTAATATTACCTATGAAATGTTCTGCCTTTGTACTTTGTTTTCTTTGTTTGCTCGTTACTACACCTGTAGACAGCGCTAAAGTCCCGCATCTTCACGTAATAACACTGTCTTGACTAGTGCGGTTGAATGACATTTGCCCTGGGAGCACTGTACCAATGTGGCGGCGCTATTGACGCATGCTCATGGTCCCTATGCGATATCTAGTGTATATATCTATGGTCTGTCGCTAGAACACCTTTAGAGGTCAGAGGAGTGAGGTTTACCTGCAGAGCACTTACTAGCTGGCCTCCGTTACATATGACCATACACCCAAAGCACTTCACAGTCATGAGGGGGGGGGGGTAAAATTATATAATCTTTAATTAAACATCAAAACCTTCGCTCCCTCCTCGAAACAACTTTTCTTTACTTCTGATCACATGGAATGTCTTTAAGGCAAGGCTCTCAGTGAGTGTCTCTTATTTATTCATCTATTTTTCAATCTTCTTTCATTTTGTTAGCAACACAACACCCTTCTTTCAAAAATCCAATTGGTTCCCAAAGAACTAAATCATGCATCACCCTACTTGACCTTTACATAAGCAGTCTAAAAGTCCTCACCTTAAAGGTTCCTGCATTAGCCCCATTAAAGCGATCTCTGTTTGCCATGGCCTGTGAACAAACAAAATAAGAGTCATGCACAACAGAATGCATACCTCTTAACTCTTAACTCTTACACTGATCTTTTGATGGGACTCACCAGTCATCAAGCTGCTCCTGTAAGGAATTC